ATATATAGATAGATAGATAGATATATATGTATATATCTTCTCTAATTGTAAAACTTTTTAGAATCTTACTTAGAAAAATAAAATCTGATTTTTAGATTCTATCAATGTAAGATTAACTTCAATCTCAGTATATAATCTTGATTTTTTTCTAATTCTACGAATTATAAAAAAATAGATAGTAAATTAAACCGAGATTAAAGTTATAATCTTACATGGATGGAACTGGACCTCTTTAGAATGAGAATCCCACTAGAAAAAATTTAAAAAGTCGGAACGCAGATAAAGGTCGTAATTTTTCAACAAGTAGACACATCGTATTTACATCGAAGTTGCCGAGAAAGATCGTACGTTCAGATCATACATCGTGGTACATATACATATATTGTACATATATACTCCAGTAAATACCAACTAAAAGTAACACAACATCAACTCAACAATGTAACTGTTACATAACACATGTGTTGTATCACTTTGTTGTTGCACTACTTTATATTGTTGGATGTTCTCTAAATTCTTCGGAATGATATCTCATTCTAAAGAGCGAATATTAAATCAATCTTAAAAAAAAATATCAATATAAGATTAACTTTGATCTTAGTTCAATTACTCTTTATCTTTTTTTAAATTAAACTGAGATTATAAAGTCTTTCATTGGTGAAACCGGGTTTTAGAATGAGATTTCACTTTTTAGAGTGAGAATCATTCTAAAAATTTCATACTCGTATTCATAGTCAGGCCTTATATTTAAGGCTTCCTTAAATTTATCTTTAGATACTCTATGAATTATTTCATTGACTGCTGAGCATCTAAAGATAAATTTAAGGAAGCCTTTAGTACAAGGTCTAACTATGAATACATTAGAGTGAAATTATAACATTGACGTTATGTTACTGTTAATTGATGTTTACTGGGACATCAGTACATCGGTCTATGAACCAATGGACCAACGCGGAGCAAAAGGGAAGGCGGAACGCGATGGATGCGACCGAGAGTGGAATGCACCGGGATTGCGGGCGTCAACGCGGCAGTCCTGGAGTCGGGCGCCCGGTGGGATAGGGGGAGGGGGAGGGGAAAGGAGGCCCCATAGAAAAGGAAGGGCTAGTAGTAGAACGGAGCGAGCTGAAACTTAGAACGGGGTCCGAGGCACACGTTCGAATCGAACGCGGCCTTGCCTAAACTTTGCTCGCTCGCGGCTGCGCGGATATCCACGTTTCTTGTGGAACAAGTGAACAGCTCGACACGACGAGTGTTTCGCGACACATCGCGCGACGTCACCGAGAAGAAG